AAGGAATAATACACATTTAATTCTTACCACCTAATGCAATAATCAAAAGTTTGAACCAAGCACGAAGGAAAAAAAGACCTGCTCTAGTGAATCGAAAAAAGGTGTTGTTTCATCAGGACAATGCGCGACCCCACACAGCAAGAATCACGTCACAAAAACTTGGTTGGGTGGAAATTCCTCATCCACCTTATTCTCTCGATCTTGCTCTTTCAGACTACCATTTGTTTCGTAGCTTACAGAATCATTTGGAAGAAACAGCTTTTGTAACACAGGAAGAGGTTAAAACTGTCATTTGTGAGTTATTCGAATCAAAGCCAAAAGAATTTTACAGTAATGGAATTAGTAAGCTTGTTAATAGATGGAACGAAGTCATAGATAATCAGGGAAAATACATTGTTGATTGAATCTGTAATAAAATGTTACATTTGGTCACTTGTTTTCTTTATTTAAAATTCGAACAGAACTTATGGGATGACCTGATATTTACTACAAATAGTTTTGTCTGGTACAAATGGGTACCAAGTAAGATTCGAAATCACTGACAACGGTCAGCAAGTTTTATTGATAACGGATACATTATGAAGCTACAAAATATGTGTCCAAAACGTATACATGCTCAATTTAGTCTGGCACAAGGCTACTAAAATATGATGATATTGAGAAATAAACATGCAGGTAATACTTAGCTAGTTCATTCACCATCGCAATTGAGGACTCCGGAGACTTTAACAAATTTCTAATCTTATAGGAAAACAACATAGCAATAGTGGGTTTCTTATTTTCATTTTGTGGCCTGAATTCTTACAAGACATCCTCCCTTTTCGAATGAATCGTATCATCAAAATTCGAATAATAGTAGGTGGTACCCATTTTCCTCGTAGGCTTTCTGATATTTTACAGATTTAATAAGTAATGTTACTTAAAATGCGTAGTTTTGATACTTCGAAAGCTAAGGTACCAGCCTTCAGAAAATATTTTATTTATGTTTTTACATCAATATAACGGACACGGTGGAGTAATGGATAGCGGCTTGGATTGAGGAATCGGAGAGCTGAGTTCGAATTCCATTCGAATCCATTAAATTCAGTTACGTGCTAATACCCTTGGGAAAGGTATGAATCATATTCTTCTTCCCCCAGATTCATACTCTAGACGTGGATGGCAAGAAGAAATGGCAACCAACTGCGACATAGAAATCTGCCACTTCAGTCATGTATCGAAAGATACATGATCGCCTAAGGGTGTATCACGCATAAGTGACTAAAATGTTGTTCAAAGAAAAAGTGCCAAAATGAATATTAGAAATAAAAATAGAATATTAGAAATGACTCTTCTCAAAAACTCAACCAAAAATTCTAGATTTTCACTTTGTTCTCAATTTTGGATTGAACTTTTAAAATGTTTCCTTATTAAATATTCCGTTAACTTTAGATACGGAAATTACATCATCATTGTCACTTGGCAACAAGATTGATAATGGCGGTCTTTTCTATCGTTTCCATATTGCATATTTGAGTCTGTCAATTAGATCTGAAAAAAAAAAGTACAAAATAAAACTTTCTTCTAAAAAAAATTAATTAAGAAGTCTTAAGGAAGGTTGGGAAACAACAGACATCTTTTTTTATTTTATATCAGGAATTTAACTTCTATAAAATTTCCTTATTAAAAATTACGTGCTAATACCTTGGGAAAGATATGAATCCTCTTCATCTCCCCCAGCTATGGCTAAATAGCAGGACAGGCCGTGTTCTATATCCTTGGATGGCAACTAGACTACCACGGGAAGAAATGGCAACCTCCTGGCTCGTCAGTCATGTATAGAAAGATACATGATCGTGTAAGCGTCTATTATGCATGGTATATAACTGACTGAAATGTTGTTCAAAGAAAAGTGTCAAAATGATTCCAAATATCATAGAATCTTAGAAATTATTCCTCAAAGTCTCAAGCAAATACTCAAAATTTTCAATTTGTTTTCAATATTGGATTCGGCTTTTTAAACGTTTCCTTATTAAAAATTACGTGCTAATACCCTTGGGAAAGGTATGATCCTCTTCTTCCCTCAGCAGGACAGACCGAGCTCTATAGCATTTGATGGCAACTGGTCTATCACAGAAAAAAATGGCAACCTCCTGCATCGTCAGTCATGAATCGAAAGATCATAGTGTGTATCACGCCTGGCACATAACTGACTAAAATGTTGTTCAAAGAAAAAGTGCCAAAATGAATCCAAAAATAGAATATTAGAAATGACTCTTCTCAAAAACTCAACTGAAAATTCTAGATTTTCACTTTGTTCTCAATTTTAAATTGAGCTTTTAAAATGTTTCCTTATTAAAAATTATGTACTAATACCCTTTGGAAAGGTATGAATCCTCTTCTTTCCCCCCCCCCCCAAGCTATGGGTAAGTAGGAGAACAGACCGCGTTCTATCGCCTTCGATAGCAACTGGTTTACCACAGAAAGAAATGGCAACTTCCTGTCTTTTCAGTCATGTATAGAAAGATACATGGTCGCCTAAGCGTGCATCACGCATGGCACATACTGACTGATCAATATTTTAGAAAGATACACTTAAACAATTTCTTTCATAAGTTTCACGGAATGATGGTTCATAATTTTTTATGATTTTAATATTAGTATATATTTTAATATTAGTATATATTTTAATATTAGTATATACAATGAAGCCATTATTAAGATATTGTAGCGAAAACCTATCAACGTATACATTCGCATTATTCATAGACGAAATATCTTTTCATATATTCGGATTTACTATTTTATAGACGGTATTTCAATGAAAAGTCGATTCAAGTTCTAGAAGGCTGCAACTCAACATTGACAGCCCTAAACGAAATCACTATTTTCTACCTAAACATATTTACCATATAGTTAGCATTAGTACATAACTTTTTTTTTATTTCTTGGTTTACTTTTTCCAATAGAGTTTTAGTGAGGAGAATCTACACTCGCATACAAACATACGTACATACATCCACCCATATGTACAGCCAGGCATATGATACGACGAATGATATCTGTCACTGTGTAAGATGCCAAATGCGTTTTGGGCATGACAAAGAGAAAGATATTTAAGAATGTTTCGTACAGATTCCGGGATGAAAAGAATGAAGCCAAATCCGTTGAGCTGGTTGAAAAAGAATTTAACGAGAAACGACTTCCGTCTAAGCAGGAAGAAAGCTTCCGGTTTTTGATATCGTGACGAGAGGAGGAAGAAACCAAACTCTTCCGAAAACCTGCTAGGATAAAGAATGCAAATGTAATGTGGATTAGAAGATTGGCAAAGAAAACGGTAAGTCAGAAATATTAGGATACTAGCTAGCGATAGGGTGGCATTTAATCTAGTTCCTGCGAAGGACTCTTGGTTTGGCCATCATCACAATAGGTAGAAAGGAGAAGATGAAATAGCCAACAATAAACTACAGAAGAACACAAAATTGATTACTGCATTTAAGTATTGCATTAATATTTATATTTACCTTTTAAAAGTACAACGATAATTCTTCTGCCGCCATTTAATTTAAAGAAAATTTGATGTACGTAGATCCTTACTTTATTAATTACTAGCTTAAAAGCCGCTCTGTCCATCTGCGTTTAAGCTACCTTCTGCGGTGGGCTCTTGATTAAGCCTTCATCATAATAGCAAGGGAAGAGCAAATGCGATAGGCAACAATAAATTACAGAAGAACTCAAAAGTGATCGCTGCATTTAAGTATTTCATTAATATTTAAGCTTACCTTTTAAAAGTTCAACGATAATTCTTCTGTCGTCAATTAAGTTATAGACTACTTGATGTACGTAGGTTCTTACTTTTCTTACGAACAATTATTTTTATTAACTCGATGACTTTCGCTGGATTTCGCAATTGATTCCGATTATTCCAAAATTTCTTTTCAAGTTATAAAAATTGTTATCGTACAAAAAATCCCCCGCAAAAAATCACGTAAAAAATCGCCGAGAACAATCGCTGTAATGAAAACTTGGGAATCCAAAATTTCTGCTACATGAAAATTAGTGGGTTGTGTCCCTTTAATTGAAAAAGTGTGGCGCAGTAACACACTGACATTCGCATTTATTATATAGAAGAAGAGAATACTGAAAAAGAGGCAAGCTAAATAATTTCATCAAATTCTGCTTTTATTTCTCTTATCCTTTCACGTCGTTGACAAGCATGGCTATTACATGTAACTCTTAATAAATTGTGTCTTTTTGTTATATTTTTAAACTTTGTTTCGTCATCCATTATTGAATCTCACTAGGTAGGTTATGCGTTGTTTTACTTTCTTCCACTTATCTTCAATACGATGAGTATCAAGCCCTGTTTTTTCATTACGTACCATCGAAATTTTAATGGTTTTTTCCTTATATTATGTATAAGTGTTCTTTGGTTTCCATTTACACTAAAATTTCGTCCATTTTCAGTATACGTCTATCAAACCACATTTCTTTTGCTTCAAATCTTTCCTTCTTCAGTGAGGAAATTGGTCAAAATTCACAGACATATTTGAGGAATGATATTACCTGAAAATTTAGTACTCTCTTTTATATTTCTAACGATTTTTTAATGTTTCTTAATACTTTACTTAGCTTCAGGAAGGAATCTTTCGCTATACCAATTTCAGTATCACACATTCGGTCCTATGTTAAAACACTTCCCAGATATCTAAATTGTCGTACTTGAATTATTTTGGCATCTCCAATTTGTATGTCGTGCTGTCCCTTTGCTAACAGCCATTAATTCTGTCTTCTTGCAATTGGTGTTTAGTATTTTTTCTCTCGTTGTTTTCTCTACTTTTTGTAGGAGTTATTGTGCTTTCCTTTCGGTGTCTGCTATCAAGAAGGTAAAATTATTTATTTGTTATAATCAAAGTCAGGTTATTCAGAAGGAAGTACGTGCTTTGAACTGGGTAATTATGGGGGGGTCGGACAAAGACATAAACTGATAAAAATCGTGAATGATGATCATCATGATAAAATCACCAATATGAAGAGAAAATGCAGAGATTTAAGCGATGGAATTTTAGCAGAATAAACGACACAGATAGATAGATAGATAGATAGATAGATAGATAGATAGATAGATAAGAACAGAGAACAGAGATAGATAGATAGATAGATAGATAGATAGATAGATAGATAGATAGATAGATAGATAGAAACAGAGAAAGAAAGAAGGAAGAAAGGAAACAAATCAAGAAACAGACTTAGAAACAAACAGATGGAGATTAGAAAGAAAGAAAGAAAGAAAGAAAAAGAAGCAAAGAAAGCAAGAAACAGGCTTAGAGACAAACAGATGGAAATTACATAGATAGATAGATAGATAGATAGATAGATAGAAATAGACAAAGAATTGATAGACAGAAAGAAAAATGAAAGAACGAAAGACGGAAATGAAGCCAGAAACTGACAAATATTTAATAGATAGATAGATAGATAGATAGATAGATAGATAGATAGATAGATAGATAAATAGAATGGAGAAAGAAATGAAGGAAGGAAACAAAGCAAAAAACAGTCTTAGAAAAAAAAAGATGGAGATTAGATAGATAGATAGATAGATAGACAGATAAAAACAGACTAAGATTTGATAGAAAGAAAAAAAGAAAGAAAGCACAAGATTAGATAAAAAAAGAAACTATGTTTTGATGGGCCGAAAGAAAAAAGAACGAACGAAAGAAGGAAATGAAACCAGAAACACATATAGATGAATACATATAGATAGATAGATAGATAGATAGATAGATAGATAGATAGATAGATAGAAGGAAGGAAGGAAGGAAGGAAGGAAGGAAACAAAGCAAGAAACAGATTTAGAAACGAAGAGATGGAGATAGATAGATAGATAGATAGATAGATAGATAGATAGATAGAAATAGACTAAGAATTGATAGACAGAAAGAAAAATGAAAGAACGAAAGGAAATAAAGCCAGAAACAGATAAATATTTAATAGATAGATAGATAGATAGATAGATAGATAGATAGATAGAAACAGAATAATATTTGATAGAAAGAAAAAAGAAAGCAAAAAACAGACTAAGGTTTGATAGACACAAAAAAGAAAGAAGGAAATAAAGTCTGAAACAGACAAATGTTTGATAGATAGATAGATAGATAGATAGATAGATAGAAACAAACAAAAATATATTAGATATATGGATACGACTTATAAGCTTCACTATCGCATTGACGTTTGCAAAAATTTGTAACCACTGACAACCATTTTTATTCATTTGCAAGAGATTTCATATGCAGAAAGATTGTATAAATTTTCTCAACTTTATTTCAGATTAAACATTTGCATAACGCTGTCTTAATTATCAAATACGTTTTCCTGTCGCAAGGAAATCAATAAAGTGTAGTACTACACTGGAAGAAATATGATAGGGTAGCCTTAATAAAAAGCGAAATCTTGCCGAGGTATACCAAATGGTCAAATAAAATTAGGACAAAAAAAATCAACTGAATATTTACGTTTTTCTATATAGTGACAATGAGAAATATGATATTGTCAAATGTCAAGAACTGATGCGAATATTATAGGGCCCGTAACATACACTCTTGTGCAAATTAATTGAGACAAAACGAATTATTCCGTTATTATTTACTTTTTCTTTTCGTGTTTCTCCAATGAAACATGACCCAGTGCACATGAGTAGTACTTCGTATGTCCATTCCACTAAGTCGTTCTTTGCAGATTGACCACAGATTCTCGAATGGATTTAAATCAAGAGGGATTCCGAGAGTCTATAGTACTTTGATTTACCCACTGGTAAGGCATTCCAAAGTGTACGAGCAGTGTTACAAGGGGAAAGCTAGTTACCAATCTAGTAACACGGTTTAATTCATGTACACCCCTGTGCAAATTAATTGAAACATAACGAATAATTTCATAATTATTTACTTTTTTGTATTTTTCCAATGATACACGAGCCAGTCGTTCCTTGTACCATGACCACATATTCTTGATTGAATTTAAATCAGGAGAGTTTCCGGGCCAGTCTATAGTACTTTGATTTCCTCACTAGTAAGGCATGCCATTGAGTTCCTACAGTTTTACAAACTTTCATACGCTTCCTTGGAGTAACGACCATCGCACACAATGGCCGTAAGACAAGTAATCGACAGTCGAGACAATAGTGTCTGGGCGTGATAAAAAATCTGACGCAATCACGGATGACACAATATTTTTCATCATACACCCCAAAAATAGATTCATATTACTGCCACCACTGCAAATGATGTAATCTTAGGATAGAAATTGCTTACACCCTGTCACTCCAGTGGATCTAAAACTGACTGAAGGGTGAAAGAAATGAAAACTAATGCATTTGATTCAATTAATTTGCACAAGAGTGTAATCAAGCGAATCTTTTCCTGGTTATATATTATGAATAATCGAAAATACATGTTTAATAAAAGCTGATACGTCGGAATTTTTGGATTAATTTATTTTATATTTTGTACCAAAGGATGTAAACGTAACACGCGTTTCATTAGCAGAAGAATCAGATAACAACAATCAACAATCTGCCCCATCTATCTAACGTCCACAGAGGGCACATCTGAAATGGCTCACAGAGTCTGAAGTCCGTGCAACATTAAGGCGGTTTTATACTTATTCAGTACGGATATATCTCTCAAAACAAGCCGCTTCTCGGAAAAGAAATTCACTAATGTTTTGAGTAACTAATATTAAATATATGCAAAATTCTGTCTATAATTGTCAAATATGTTTATCTATTACGACAGAAATATTGCTGGAAATCAATAAAGTCTCTGTATAGAACGAAGACAGTATCATAGGTCAGCACTCCAATAACAAGGGCGTAGGTAAAAAAAAATAGCAGTATTTTCCCCTTATTGTCAAACTCGATAGCAAAGTTAAATAGCGAAATATTACTTAATTTTCGAATATATATGAAGTCTGAGAGAGAAAGTATGAATCAATATGGCGGAAAATCAAAACCAAGATTTGTGCCGATAATTGCTATTGTGATAAAAATAAAATAAAAAGAAAGCCTGAACACATCAATGAATTTGTATAAGAAGCTCTGGATAAGAAAGGCGAGCTGTGCTTCTTGATATCTCGAAGACGTTTGACAATGTTTAGCATGCTGGCCTTCGACGCAAGCTCCAGGACTCTGGTGTCAGAGGACAAATATTTGATTTCATTTAATCGTTCCAATCAAATCGTGAAATGAAGTTCGTTTTGAACGGTCTCGCTTCCAGATCTTTCCACCCGAACACGGGTGTTCCGCAACGCTCTATACTGGGTACTACGCTGTTTTTTTTTTTTATATCTTCACAGGAACTACTAGATTCCCATCTAGGTTTCACCCTTTTACTATCGAAATAACTAAATGCAACAACTACTTCTATTTCGACAGTATCTTTTCTCGCACTTCACAACTGTGGAACACATTTCCGTTCACTTGCTTCCCTGATAACTACAATCTTCAGAAGCTGAAATGTAACGTCAATCGCCATCTTTTCTGTTTTTGTATCATGTTCAGGTTTTGTGCTTTCATCAATCTTCCCCATTAACAGTTTTCTCATTCACTTTCATTCCCTGTAATTCCCTACATACTAGTGGCATTCTCGCCTTCCTTGGGGTGAAATGATCAAAACAAATTCAATTTCTTCGAAGTGTTTCACATTTAATGCACCTTCTCATCGAAACTTTATGCACAAATACCCTTGCGAAAGGTATGAATCAGACTTTTCTTCCAGCACTGAGTTGAATATCAGGACAGGCTGGGTCTGGCAACCAGTTCCCTGCAGAAAGAAACAGCGACCTTCCGCGGGAAAATATTTTTGCCTCTTCAATCTTGAACCGAAAGAGTAATGGAACTTAACGCACTGGTTTTAGTTTTGTTTTTTTGTTGTTTTTTTGTTGTTTTTTTTTACGTAGTTTTTCACAATAAAAATCAACACGATTCTACACGAATTTTCTCCTCTGCATTCCTCTATGTGTTGGCTAGTGGGTATTTTTCTAGAAAATCAGAAACAACCAAAGGTTGCACCAACATATGCCAACCTAGTCATTGGATACCATGAAATAATCATCTATGGCAGAACCTGGATAGGAATGACTTCGGTTGCAACATAAATGAAAACTGGATATCTACATGACTGATTCATTCTATCGAATAAAATTCTGGATAAACTAGACATTCCAAACGCATTAATAATATAAATACTAGCATCCAAATCACTATAGAGTACAGGAACAAAAAAACTTCCCTTTATAGACATATTAATAAAACAAATCAAACACTAAACTAGAAACCGACATATATTTTAAACCTACTGACTCTCGACAATATCTCCTTTTGACATCTTCTCATCCAAAACACACTCGTAACAACATCCCACTGAACCTAGCCAAGCGGATATGTACAATAGTCTCAAATACAACCACCAGAGACCGTAGACTAGAAGAGATGAAAAAATACTTATCAAGAGAAAATGCCAAGAAAGTTAAGTAGACAATAGTATTGAAAAAGCAAAACAAATTAACGTCCACACACTCAGACAAAAGGAAAAAAAAGGGTCATCTCTTATATCTCAACTTTCAACCCAAAGAACACGAAAATCTACCCACACATATATAAATAAATCTACCAATCCTACTAAAGGACAAAAAAATGAAAAGCCTATTACAAAAATATCCAATCATAAAATGTAAACGACAACCTAAATCTCTAAAAAGAATACTGACAATTGCAAAACTACAGAATGCAATTAAAGAGCCTCAGATGAAAAAATGCAACCGACCTCTTTGTGGGGTATGCAACTACTTATTAGAGGGTCATGAATATCATTTCAAAGACGGAGCAAAATTAAAAATGATGTCTTGTTTTCTCATGGACATTACATTGGCCAAACCGACCAGTCGCTCTGGCAAAGGATGACAGATTATCGCCAACAAATTAGGGACACCACAAAAATACCCCTTATCCAACATATAGAGGAATACGGAGGACAAAACATGTCAAATTATAGTCTCTTCTCATTCTACCAATGCGACTACAGAACCACTAAATAAAGGCGGATTAATAATGAAACATTTTTCATCAACAATTTCAAATCCATAATTAATTCTTTGGATAAATAGATTCTACGAAATCTCCTCTACCATCGGGGATCAGGCTGGTCGGGGATCAGGCTTGTCGGGGATCAGGTTGGTCGGGGATCAGGCTTGTCGGGGTTAGCTCGAATGAATCAACATATAAGTCTATTTACTTCAAAGCAACAAAACTCTTTCATAGTGCGTCGTTTTCATTCTTGACATCAGTTGGATCCAAAATTAATTGTTTTAACTCTGCGCCTCAAAATATTAACCAAAATATATTTCGTTGATATTGTTCATAATAAAGGTGGAAAGAAAAAAAACAATTAAAGTAAAAATAGAATTAAATAAAATTGACGTGTCTATTCCGTCTTCATAAATCTGTACCCTATCAGACTAGACACATACTTAACAGGCAAGGTATTTCTTGCTTCAATTTATCAAATAATCTTTTTAAAATATCTAACGACTTGTATGACTTGTATCCTTTGTTTTTTAAAGAACACATTTTTGTATTTGTCTATATTTCTGAGATAAGGTATTATGTACACTATATAGCCCGAATAATGTAAATAGTGTCCATTTTAAATACTTTATTCTGTACAGTATAAGGTTTTTAGAGAAATGTATCAATTGAAGAAGGGTAAGTTAAATTTACCCCGACTTAAAGGAGTCAAAGATCAAAGAAATTGGGAGCCTTTACTGGTCTATTGGAGGGTTTGAGTGAGGAGAGTATCTGAGGTAGTATTTAGGAAATTAACCAGTCAGCTATCCTTATCTCTGCCATCATTGACATGATATAAACATATATATATATATATACATCCATATATATATATATATATATATATATATATATATAACACAAAACACAAACACACATATATATATATATATATATATATATATATGTGTGTGTGTGTGTGTGTGTGTGTGTGTGTGTGTATGTTGTTTGTATAGAGCTAAAGGCAACCGGATGTCTATCCACACTGATGAACTGTGAAACAGAATATCTGTGGATGACGTTATATTGGATCCTGAAAAATTAATTTCAGTTGATCTCTCTGTGGGTTGTTAAAACAGTGACTATTATAGCTATATAGCAGACTCTTCGCAGATGCTAATTGAGTCACTGTCGGTCACTCGTGTTTCTAAAAT